AGCCCCAAAAATTTGGTTTAACAGCTATATTCCGTCTTATACAAGTAGCACCGAATGGGCATTGTAGACACTTGACGTACAGTATTGTTGACTACTACACCACGTGATACCCCTTTTTGCATGCTGTAAAAACCAGGGCCACACAGATTGCAAGAGTATTTCAAGACAGTGATATTTATTCGGCAAAAGCTTTTGTTTTGTCCTGTATATACAAAATGTGTCGCATTATCCAACTCGAGCTTATTTCCGATTTCGCACTGGATGGTCGTATTATCATTCATGTATACGAAGCTTCCGTTGGAAATCTCAAGTACGGGATAGGAATAAGTTTCAGCAGCAGACGATAACATAGTTGTATTTTGAAGATATATAGGTCCCCTACTTTCGGAAAGGAAAAAGGTCGTTTTGTAAAATGTAGTATCGTTTATCGTGATGTTCTTCTTCGTTGCAGAGAAGAAACAATCTTTGAAATCCACCTGGCCAGTTCCATATGCGGAATAAACGTGTCCAGAATGTTCGATGGCAAAGTTATTTCTAAAAGTACATCTTTGGAATGTTGTGTAGCCGTTGGTTACGTGTACAGGACCAGCGATTAACCCCAAGTTTCCCTCAAAAATGTTATCTTCAAACAAAGTATGAGTTCGATAGCTCCACTCAGGATGAGTTTCTTTCCTTGTCGCTCTCTTGACACATCCTGTACTTACGACTTTATCACGAGGTGTGAGGACCGTTATTGCACCGGTCGAGGCCTCGTAAATATCGCCTTTCCACACATATCGTTGGAAACATATACCATTTCGAAAAACTGAGGATTGTATTTGTAAAGTTTTGTTGCCTTTAAATGACAAGCATAAAACGTTGCATGGTCTCGATTCAAATGTGACATTCTTAATTTTAATAACTGCACTGGAACTATTTAGTAGACGCAAAGGCCTAATAATGATATAGAGCCCGACGTTTTTATATGTCCTTTGGCTACTCTTGAAAATGGTGTTCTCGATGCTCAGCTCTACACGGGCTGGATCCTTTGTATGTGCCAAGATATCAAAGCTGTTCTCAAGAAAGCTGCAGTTTGAGATAGAAATGCGGAAGGGACGAGTATCAGAAGGTGCTTTTGGATATAACCCTAGTATTCGGAATGAGCGCGCAAATGAAGCTAAAACAACGTTTATCAGTTTGATGGAGAACAGGGGACTCATCCACAAGGCACCACCGTGACGATCTCGAGCTGTGACCCACTGGTTTGAAAAAACAATGTTTTCTATCAATACGCTCCCTTTAGCTTGCGCTTTATGGGCTCTGATTACAACAGCGCTTCTTACATGTACTTTAGCGTTGCCCACAAATGTGCAGCCAGAAATAAGCACGTCAGTTTTGCCACCTCTGTTTCATATCATTAAAGCTTTACGTGCTGATGACATACTCTTTTTCCACGAATAATCCGTGATGGCCTCTTTTCCATTAGACGTGGATGCCTTGACAAAATCAGAAAGAGTATTGTTGAACAATCTGACATCATCATAAACCCTGCTGGTCACAGCTGACGGCAGATCAAGGTTCATAAAGTACCCAACGTTATTGACAGATGTGATGTTTAAGCAAGATATTTGGACATATATGCTGCTGGATGGCAGCGTGGTTTGTGAGCGGATGGTCAGTACACCTCTTGGAAACCGCTGTTTGTGAAATCCGTTTTTCATAAACGTCGTCTCGCTGATATTTAAAACAAGAAGTTGATCCTGGTTTGAATCTTTGTGGTACAAAATGATTTCCACGCATGAAATGTTGTTGTTAAAGAAAAAAGCGCCATAAAGAAAAAAGAGCGTTCTTGCATTATCTGTTATGTGAATTTTCAGAGCAGTGAAGGTATCTTGAAAAGAACAGTTAAAAATCTTGAAATCAGAATCCTGAAACAATAATTGCGTTTGCCGAAAAACAACACCAGATAAAATAATAGTTGTTGTCTGAGTACTTGACTTGTGAAAATGCAAGGCACTAGGGCAAGAAATGTATGGTGCGGATTCCAGACCAATCAAACTCAAACTTTTCTGAATTTCAATTTTTAGGCGTTGCTCATGCGCCATTGTAGAGTTACAGTGGTAACGCTTTCGCTGGGTTCTAGAATCATCCAGGTAAATATGTCGGCCCCAGTCTACTTGATGGATTTCCATAGCAATAGGCTGACATAGGTGACTGATTCTACCACATCTTTCACAATAAGTTCCTTCCAGAGAAAACGTTTGAGTGACCATTATGCTGCGCTGCTAAGAAAAAGTATAAAAAACACTGACTAGTCTGGTTTTGCTTGATTATCTCGCAGTAGGCGGGGCTAGTAGAAATTTCTGTCCATCTTTATCGGCTTAGGGTAAAATTTATGGTGGTTTAACAGTCTGCATCACATGGTGGAAGAAATGTTTTGGGTAACTCGTCTCCAAGACATTTCAGAACTATTTAATCCTTGCAATTTTTTGCATTGCATTATGAAAAAATCTCCTCTTCATTGTTATCTTAAGGTTGATTTAATTTAATTTGATACAGCACTAATGAACAAAAATACCGAATTAAGTATAATTACGGTCTGGATAGAGACTGGGTTACAGCAAAAAAAAAAAATCAAACCGGAATCGGTCCATTACAAAAACACCTGGAAATAAATGTCTTTATGTCAGCTACTTATAACCAAAGAGGGTATTTTAATTGACTTATTAAAAAAATATCTCCACAAGTAATCAATATTTTGTTTTGAACATCTTTACAAGAAATTAAAGGAAGATTTTAGTTTCGGACGTCTCAATATCTAACATTTATTCATCCCAAAACCTGCAGGAAGTGGAAGTCGAGAACTTTTAGCGCAGGGGCCGGTTGCTACGAGCCGATTAGAATACAATAAGAGCGTTTTTTTAAGTCTTCTTTAACTATTATTTCTTGGAGTGCACCCTAAAATATACTTTGACATTTAAAAATGGTGGCGTTTCGTCATCTACACCCTAAATGAGACCAGAATACTTGAGTTATACCCCAAGGCGAGACCACGAGCGCATCCTAGACCTTTACATGTGGGAGTTCCCATCCCCCGGGCCCCAACCTTCAAAGATCTCTGACCTCTGATATCAATTTGTAAGAACCTATTTACTTTAATTTGAACTACACATGTAAGACGGGTGCTTGGCCCTGTGGGTTGTTAACACTATATCTTCTCGGCATATCGTCCTGGAAGAGATAGTACAGAATAGAATATCTTATAGTCTCATTTGCAGCCTTTATTTGTCTTATTTGGTTTGCCATGCAAAGCTACCATAAGAACACGAGCCAGATAAAGGTTGCAAAGAAGTCTTGGATTCAAATGCTTTAGTCAATAAGTTACTCCAATAAAATCTCGATGTACGACGAAAGAAAAATAAGAATACTACTAGACATTTTCAACAATTTCCAGAATTTTAATCCCAATAAGAACAATTTTCTTCACGATAGCAAATAAACATTTGTCGGAAATTTAGAATCAAATTTATCTTGTCTCATTTTATATTTTATTATTCTAATATTAACCAAATCAATTATCAGCTCAAACTGTTTTATCATCCATCCCTTTACGACTATAGTGGGAAGGTGGGCTCCAGCTAGGAATAAGACTATCTTCCGCTGTCCGTTACATGCTCAGTGAAAAAAAAAAAAAAAGAGACTGATTAATATTACATATACTTTGTGTTTCAATCGAACGTATTAACTGAGACTTTTTTTCGTACATTGCGCTTTATTTTGTATGCCCTAATTTCTGGACAGTCTTCAATAAGAGTTATTGTGGGATCAAACAAACATGTACCGTTACCCAGCAGAAATCAAAGGGCAAAAATTGACAATATATAAGTCTTAATTGTCCTCACTGTCCTGTTCAGCATTATCCAAAAGAGGTTCTCTCAGTTGGTGTATGAGCCATCGATGAGAACGGAACTGCCACCAGGTGTAATAACATTTCTTGACTAGAAATACCGCGAGCCTTGCGAGCTGGGACAAAATGGCGAAAGTGACCAACAGAGACACCAATGCTGGGGCAAATGTTAAGGTGCACACCTCAAACCATTCCAGGGTTTCCAAATAAGGTATGTCTGGGCCATCAAGAGCGACACCATATGAGATGAAGGCTGCTTTTACCAAATTGATCACGGCAATGATAGACAAAGCAGCGAGGGACAGNTGCCACCACTGCATGCATGGGACATTTGCATCAATGAATAGCCACTTTCTGGGTCCAATCGAAACGCAGTACATTAGTTTCAGGGATGTTTCTGCCAGCCGTTCATAGCCTAGCAATAATACTTCCATGAAAACGGCCAAGTAGTGGAGAAGATGCGGTCTTTCTTTACGCCTTAATATGTTGATGAAAAAATGGACGACATATACGAGTGCAATGTCGGCCATTGTCAGGAAAACGGTACCTGAAAGAAGCAACTCTTTTGTTACCGCAGTTAGCCCTACAAAGGGGCATCCCAATCCTTTATTGATGGTTCGAACTTGGAAGTTAAAGACGGCAATTACTATGTAGATGAACGGTATCTTTTGAAGGAGGTTTTCTATGGAACTGACCATCAGCAGCTCGGCAGCTTGATAAAAGTAGAATGTAACCTTTATATATCCTCTGTCCCTGTGATCATGGTTTTGGCCCAAGTCATCCCGTTGGTTNCTTGATAAAAGTAGAATGTAACCTTTATATATCCTCTGTCCCTGTGATCATGGTTTTGGCCCAAGTCATCTCGTTGGTTATAGACTTTCCTTCGGTAAAACCATAATATCTGATTTCCAAGAAAAACCAGGATCGGAGGTTTTATTATAAGGTACAAAGCCAATCCAGTTGTTAGCACAATGATGGAAATCCAAAAATAATAATTATTGCATTCCGCATTTTTGCGGCATTCGGCTGAAAAGAGAGTTTCACTGTATCCTGGAATGCATGAACCACACAGGGTGCCGCTTCGGTTTCCCTGGCAACTGTTATATCCTTTTGAGTCTAATGATGGTTTTTGACAGTAATGTTCTGGACAAAGAATAAATCTTAGTGATGGTGGATTAGTATTTACCGGATAGCCCCAAAAATTTGGTTTAGCAGCTATATTCCGTCTTATACAAGTGGCACCGA